TATAACCTGGGAAGGATCTGGCAGCAGTTTAGCTGGGTAGTTCTGGTTCGGGATGTCTCATGAGAATGTATCAAGTTATCGGCCAGGGCTACAGTCATCTGAAGGAGTGATCAGGCTGGACGATCTGCTTCCAGACTCACTCATGTGGCTGTTGGCTGAAAGCCATAGTTCTATACTATGTGGACCTTTTCATAGGCTATTCATGACATGGCAGCTGGCTTTCCCCAAAATTAATGATCCAGAGAAAGAAAACGCGAGCAAGAAGGAATCTGCAATGTCTTTTGTCTACTCTCAGAAGTGACACATCATCACTTCTACCATATTCTATTGGTTGCACAAACCAACCTTGGTACAATGTGGAAGGGGGCTACACTGGGGTGGTGATCATTAAGGCCATCTTAGAGGCGGCTTTAAGGAGTCCTAATGGAGCAGTAGTTAAAGTGCTCAGCTGCTAACCAAGAGGTTGGTGGTTTGAACCTACCAGCTGCTCTGTGGGAGAAAGATAGGGTCTTTAATAGGGTCACTATGAGTCAGAATCAACTAATGGCAATGTTTTTTTTTTTTTTTAAAGAGGCTAGCTACCATAATAGGGCAATTAGTAGTGGTTGTTCCTTAAATGTATGTAAAAGTTTTACCCTTAAAAATTAATGAATCAAAGTAATAGGGCAATTAGTAGTGGTTGTTCCTTAAATGTATGTAAAAGTTTTACCCTTTAAAATTATTAATGAATCAAAGCCTATAACTTTTTTGGGCTTTTTTTTTTTTTCCTCTTAAACAAAACTGAGTATACTTTCTGCCCTATCTTTGCTGATTGTATCATTTTGGATTGTTCTCAATCTTCCAGTAACTAAACTCACTGCCATCAAATTGGATCCAATTCATAGCAACCCCTCCTTGGGGTTCTGAGGCTGTATCACTACAGAAGTAAATTGCCTGACCTTCCTTCTGAGGAGTAGTTGGTAGGTTTGAACCACCAACATTCTGGTTAGCAGTCAAATGCCTTAGGTACTAGGGTTCAGTAATTTGAATGGCGATCTAAACAATATGCTGCTGCCACCTGAAGAATAAGAGTCAAAACATATATTTTTGGCAGCATTAGTAACTTGTCTTTCCTCTGAAGTGTCTTCTTTCCCTTGCAATCATCTTCCCTAAGCATCTTGCCAGAACCATTCATGGTGTGTTTGTTAGCTATTTGTGGAAAATTGCTATTTGAAACCCTTATTATGTTCTATTTAAAATAGATTTTGTTTAATGTACACAATAATTGAGACTTGCTGAAACTACTAAGCTCTCTCAGAGTAATGTCTGTATTGTGTGCGTTAGTTGACAAAGAGATCTTTCATGGATGGGTGCTCACAATTAAATAGAAGCCTCAGGTAGAGAGGGAAGGAATTACTCTTTTATTTTATTTTATTTTTTATGGGAAAAGTAATAGAACTATATCACTGCAATTTGACCCACTCTTGCTAAGCACTTTATGAAGAATCAAGCAGTGAGCTAGCAACACATATGCAAATAACAAAGGCGAGTATGAAGCTCTCATCACTATTATCTGTGTGATGTTCCTCTCCACTTGTGCAACAGGAATCCGTGGGTGGTTCAAATGGTTAATGCACTCAGCATCTAACTGAAAGGCAGAAGCTTTGAGTCTACTCCAAGGTGCCTTGGAAGAAAGCCCAGGTGAAAAATTAGCCATTAAAAACCCTATGAAGCACAGTTGTCTCTGACACACATGGGGTCTCAGTGAGTCAGAACTGACTCTATAGCAACAGGTTTTGGTAATTCTTTCAAGACTCAGAGCAGGAGACCTGAAACAATAATCATGATAATGACAACTGATTATTTGTATGATATTATACATAAAAATTATGTGCCTACCATTCTGACTTGAGGGAAACAGACTTTTCTCTGATAAGTTGCAAACTGATAGCTAGTAGCTCTTACTAGAAAAAAAGATAAACATATTTAAGGAAAAAAAAATTGCAGATTCTAAAGCTCTGGTAGTGTAGTGCCTAAGGCACTTGACTGCTAGCCAGAAGGCTGGTGGTTCAAACCCACCAGCTGCTCTTTGGAAGGAGGATTGCACTATCTACTTCGGTAATGATACCACATCAGAAACCCAAGGAGGGGTCACTATGAGTCGGGTCCAATTCGATGGCACATAACAACAACAAAGTACCCTCAGATTGGAAGGCACAAAAGACCTCTTTACAATGTTAAGAGCAAAGATATCACATTGAAGACTAAGGTGCAACTGACCCAAGCTATGGTATTTTCAATCACCTCATATGCATGTGAAAGCTGGATAATGAATAAGGAAGATTGCAGAAGAATTGATTCATTTGAATTGTGGTGTCGGTGAAGAATACTGAAAATACCATGGAATGCCAGAAGAAAGAACAAGTCTGTCTTGGAAGAAGTATAGCCAGAATGGCTAGACTTCGTCTCTCATACTTTGATCATGTTGTCAGAAGGGACTAATTCCTGGAGAAGGATATCATGTTTGGTAAAGTAGAGGGTCAGTGAGAAAGGGAAAGATCCTTGAGATGAACTGACACAGTGGCTGGAACAATGGACTTAAGCATAGCAACAACTTGGAGAAGGCACAGGACTGGGCAGTATTTGGTTCTGTTGTGCGTAGGGGTGATATGGGTTGAAACCACCTTGAAGGCAACTCACAACAACAAAGATCACAAGTGTGGAAAGGGACAGAAAATTCTAGAAAAGACATGTTGAGTCAGAAAGATGTGCTCCATTTGAATCTTAGTGGAAAATCAGGTTAACTCTTCAATATTTGCTAACATTTAAGGATTAATGGGAATGATAATTAAGTTTGTATTTCTTGACAACTTGCTCCAAATTGTACCCAATGTTTTATGGTGATATTATATAAGAGTTCTGCTTAGCTGTCTTAATGCATTATTTTCAACAAAATGGAGTAATTGAGTGAGGAAATGTTTCTCATTAAACAATACCTTTGTGGGGAGCCAGGGCTATTTGGATCATAAGGCATCAACTAGTCACTGTCACTCACCTCATAGTAACAAAACCTCTGAAGGCCAAGGAGGTAATGATACCTGCGAGGCAATAAATAGCCCCTGAAGTATCTCCTTTATAAACCCAAATCTTCCAAAGAATTGAAAACATCACACTATATTCTAAAACATTTTCTGAATATCAGTTATTTAGATATCTGTGGTCAACCTTTTTCCGCTTCCATACCTTTCTCACGTGGAACACACTCCACATGAGAGTTAGCAACACTCTCAAAGTGCAGGAAATCCCTCCGAAGAGAACTCTGACCTGCAGGGGTGGGAAATAGGCATCACAGGGGCATGTCCATTTTGAAAAAATCCCTCCAGTGATGTTCTTAATTAGTAGGCTATTTTTTGGAGTAGTTTTAGGTATACATAAAAGTTATGCAGAAAGTACAGCATTACATATACCCTTCCTACTCCCCCTACATAATTTTCCTACTATTAACATCTTGCATTAATATGGTACATTTGTTATAATTGATGGATCAATATCGATACATTATTAATAATTAAATTCCAGAATTTACCTTACATAGCTTGTGTTGTAAAGTTCTATGGATTTTGACAAATCTATAATGTTAGCAATCAACCATTTCAGTAACATGCAGGATAGTTTCAGTGCTTTCAAAGTGCCTTATGCGCCATCATTCATCCCTTCCTCCATCCCTCCTTCTTGAGATTCATACATGCCTTGCTGGGGCTCAGGTCAGGAAGGCCATGACTTCCTTCCCACTTTCAGCTGACACTATGTTGTTGTTGTTGTTATGTGCCATCGAGTCGGCCCGACTCATAGCAACCCCTCCTTGGGTTTCCGAGATGGTATTACTACGGAAGGAAGCCCAACCTTCCTTCTGAGGAGTGGCTGGTAGGTTTGAGCCACCAGCCTTCTGCTTAGCAGTCAAGTGCCTTAGGCACTATGCTACCAGAGCTCCTAGCTGACACTATAGGAGCAGCTTAGTAAAATTCCTGACCTCTGTGTGGACAGTCTGAGAAGTCTGCCTTGAAGGAGAGGTCCAGCTGAAAGAGCTCTGAGCATCAGCCTACCTGGACTTTGATCCAGGGTTTACCAGTAACATTTGACTTGAAGTATGTCAATTCCCCTCTCTGGGGCTCAATTCCTGACCTGTAAACTGAAAGGGTGGGGCTAAATGATCCCTAAGGCCCAATACAGTACTGATATTGTACTATTCCATTTTGGCTGGAGGCTGATAAATCTCATGACATTTCATAGCATAAAGTTACTGTGTTTTCCTAAACCTGAAGTTGCAAACTAGTGGCCAGATCCAACTTGCAAATGTATCTTTTTTACACCCCTCCCTACCCCCACCCCTAGTATTCTTCGTTTTTCTGAGTTGGTTGCCAGCATTTAAAAATAGAGAGATTTCTCATAATCACCTCTGGCTTGTCTTGAAGATCTTGGATCTGACAACATTCAGCCCTCCTTCCTCCATGGCCACCTCTTCTAGATAAGGCCCATGCTCTGGTTCACCACTGGCCCACACAGCCCATCTTGCTCATTTCCATCCCTCCTGGCCACTGTAAATGTTTGAGTTTGCAACTCCTGTTTTCAATTGCCTCCATTGTCCCCAGATCACATGAGACGATGACACATGAGACAATGTCCTTGTAAAGGACATATATTCAAGCCTGTTTTAATTCTTTCTGCTGCTTGCACTGGTCAGGAGGGTGGGTTTGTGAGCACTTCTGGAAGTGACTGTCTGGCTTGTTCATGTGCATGGAAGGTGGGAGGAGAGCTGGAAACCAAACAATCTTGTGGTGCTTCTGCAAGGATCTCCACCAGGCTGGTAGCATCATAGATATGCTGAAGGTGCAGGAGGCAGTTCTAGGTGAACATCTGCAAGCCTCAGGGAAAGAAGAGGCCAAATGAGGGGGGAAAAAAAAGAAAAACTTATGGGGTTTTCAAGTGTCCTTTTTCTACCTCTTCCGAACTTTCCTGTGTAGGTCCATGCCACCGACGGCGGGCAGGAGGCTGCTGTACCCAGTTGGGCTCCTTGTCAGCACTCAAGCATGCTGTTCTCGGGCTCTACCTGCTGGTCTTCCTTATTCTCGTGGGCATCTTCATCTTAGCAGGTAAGAGCAGCTCTCTTCTGTCCTGCGCCTTTAGGTTGAAGAAGGAGGGCATAGGAAGCAAGAGCAGATGGATGAGAGAGCTGCAGCCTCAACTCTTCATTCCCACTGACATGACCTGAATGCTGTCCTTCTCACCACTGGTACCACAAAGGAAGCAGCCGGCTATCTTTCCAGCTGGGCACCACTCTGAAGCAGCACGGTCTGTTCCATGTGGGATGAGGACTTAGCAGGGGCTGTGTGTCAGAGATTGTGAAATCTCTGATTCCAGCAGCAGAGATTTAGCTACTCCAAGTGGTTTCCAATTTTTTCTACATTGTCATGTGACACTGGGTAGCACACTGCTTCCCCTTGGACCTCTAGGTTGTGGATTGCCCAAAGCAGGTTGAGTGTTATCTGAGCCCCTTGTCCTGAGGTATGATGAAATGGGCATGAGGTACTTTGCTGCAGATGCTAATTAGGGTTATGGTAAACTTGGTGCCCTTTGCAATTATTGGAGTTGGGGGTGGGGTTGCTGCAATCCAGCCAGGCTCTTTTCCCCAGTTTCTGTCCACAAGACAATCAGGTGCTAGATTCAGGTTTGGAACATATTCTCCAGCCATGGATAAGCAGAGCTCACTGACTTAGGAAATGATCCAACTGTTGACCTTATGCTTTGACCAGCCCAGCTCACCATCCACAGGTGACAGAAACACTGAAGCAGACAGGAGCAAAGACTATGGTGGTCTCCTCCTGACTCCCACCTTTCTAGTTGAAGGTATGTGGGACCTGACAAAGTAGGGCCAAAGGATTAGTTCAGTTCCACCTGTTGTAGCTTATAGAAGTACCTACTTTGCACCAAGCTCAGTGTTAGGATTGGGACAGAGTTAAATAAGACCCACTGGCTTCCTTCAAGGAGCTCCTAATCTAGGTCATGCAGACAGAACCTGTCTCAAGGCAGAATGTGATAAGGGATATGATTGTTGTAAACACATGCTGTGGTAATGCAAAGAAGGCCTGCAGAGTGGATGTGTGGGTGTTGCATGGGGAAGGTAGGATTAGCGGAGTGAGGCTGCTGGCCAGGCAGAGCTGAATTGGACTGCCGAGTGTGGGGTCCTGGAGTTAACTCTGGGGCAGAAATCTAGAGATTAAGACCTTGCAGATGACCCACTGATGGAAATATGAGGCAAATTCCCAGAACCTCCCTGGCTTTCTATCAAGTGGGACTAGTCACTTGGGCCTTGTGATGGGATGTTCAGTGCTGCCTTCACTCTGAGGTTTCCACAGTCAGGGCTCAGGGCATACATTAGGGGTTGTGTCTGTGCCACCAACCATTAACCTTAGGGGCAGCCAACAGCAATAACAAGAAAAATTCATGATTCATCTCAGGAATCAAGGGATGGTGTCCAGCAAGAGCCATCACTGGCCAAGCCAGCCAGAGGATGATTTAAATATATTCTTGCACTTCTCAGTAAGAGATTGGAATCTGGTTTTGTAGGCTTGGCTCCCACAACCATAACAAATTCTCAGAATATTTAGAAAGTGTTTCAGTCCAGCATGAAAGTCAGCTATGGTGTTACAACTTCTCTGCTGCACAGGAGCATTTAGGTGGTAGAGGGTCATGAGCAGAGAGACCAGGCTGGGGAGGGACCTAGGGCAGGTCTCTGGAGGCCTGGGGGGCCTGGAAAGACATCATCTCTTGGGGAAGAGAAGGCTTGCAAGGGGATGAAAGTTCTTTTCTGGTGCCTGAAGTGCTGCCATGTGAAAAAGGGAAGATGTATTCTGTGTGGTCATTGAGGGTAGAACTAGGATGAAATGTGTGGATATTGTAAAGAGACAGATTTTCATTCAAAATAAAGGTTAGCTTTATTTTTTATTTTTTTAAAAAAAAAAAAGTAGTTCTGCATCTAGTATGATGCAGAAAGGTTTTTTCCTGGTTTGGAGTTGAGTGAGATTAATAGTGCCATCTTGACATTTTTAGAAAGAAGGGTGGAATATGGTTTCCCAGTCTACTGAAAACATTATCACACTTCCTTAATTGTTACATGTGGAACCCTGGGGAGGATTTCAATCTTTATAATCATCTTCAACCCTGAAATTTCTGGCTACTCTGCCTGTGTAGAATTCAGGTGGATTGGCACTGATCTGATGAAACAGAGCATCCTACTTTGGGTCTTGGCTCTGGGTGTGTTACCACTGTCACCTCCTAAGATCTTGCCTGGAAAACCAGGTTGTCCACTGGGAGAGGTTTGGTGAGGGCAGTCAATGAAAGGGTATGATCAACAGCTATACAGGGAGTAGACTTGGGAATGTGGTGGACAAGGTTGGACAAGTTCTTCCAGAAGGTCCTGCCTAATCATAGGTAGGAAGTTTCTTCAGATTTACCTTGATTGATGATCTGCAGTAATGGTCCCTGTTTTGTTTACCTAATGCCACTCTGATAGGAATATATCACAAATCGGATGGCTTGAACAAACAGAAGTTGATTTTCTTACAGTTCTGGAGGCTAGAAGTCTGAGTTCAAAGTGCCAGGCTCTAGGGGTTGGGTGAAGCCCCTCCACCTTGGCTTCAGCTCTGCCTCTTGCTCCCAGCCCACTGAAGCTGGAGGCATCTCTTCACTCAGTCAGCTACTGGCTGCTGAGGCTGACAAGCCCAAGGTCAACAAATAAAACACACACTATTGGCACAGTCCCTATAGTACCAAACCACACAGCAGGCCATTAATTCAAATCCTGAAAAAAATTCCAAGATCAGCAGGGCAACGTGGCAGGCTGCTGAACAATGACTCAGCTACATGCAGGGTTCAAGTATGCCATAAGCTGGAGACCTTCCTCAAAGTTATATACTGAAAGCAGCCTACATCCCTAAAGTAGCTACTGAGCTGCTCCAGTAGATTTCACCGTGGAGTTAATTACCAACCTCACCATGGGGAATAACTGCCCAGCCACTCAACCAGGCCCAGCCAAGTTGACATACAACCCTAACTACCACACTCCCTTTCAGAAAATACCAACATGGTGAGGTGATCTATGTGTCAGTGTAATGCAGAGGCTGCCTGGCTTTCTGTTAGGTGTCCTGATGTGAGCACTTTCCCCATCTTGGCAGCATCTGCTCTTCAGTGCCCTGCAGGGTCACCTTGCACAGGAGGAGTTCTGCTGAATGCTTCTTAAACTTCGACACTTCTTTGTTGATAGATATCTTGCACATCTTACAACTGGATGACAACATTATCCACTGCTGTATCTGACTCCCTAATTGGGCAATTCATGTTTTACCCACTTCATTATCTATCTTACTGTCTGATTGGAGTATAAATTCCTACTCTAAGAATTTTCTGATTTTACAAAGTTATTATCTAATTATATAAAAATTAGTCTTGCAAACCCTACAAAAGACTTTTCTCAATTCATCTCCTTACCCAAATACTCAAAGTAAAAGGGAAAAATTGGATCTCATGTTTGTGTGTTATCCCAGACTCCCTCATCACAAGGTTAATCCAGCCATCACTCAAATTATTCTCTCAATTGGACTTTCTTCCTTCCATCTAACTATCCATTTCTGACTAGTATCCTCCTAGGAACTTTCCTCTGATGGTCTCCTACCATCACTGAGTTCTATTCCCTCAGCTCACAGGCCTCCTTAATCTCCTGAGAAAGATGAACCAGTCAATCATCCTCAACCCCAAACTCCTCAGCTATTCTATCTTCTAACACATTTTATTCATTACCTGGGCTGATGATTCCCTATTACATTTCATTCTGTTCCAAATTCATTATTGGACAGTACAAACTATCAGCTTTAGTTCATGAATAAGAGAATTGAGATTAGATGGTCACTTTGGTCAGAAGGCCCTAAATCTAGGCAAAGTGGTCTCTGTAATGGGGTTTAAGAGTTAGAGGAGGTTTGGTCTTGTCCATGATTACTTCTGGGACCCCACTGTGGTCACAAACTATGGTCATCAGGAACCATATCTCCTATCAAATGCCCACCTCTTTCTTCTCCTTTCCTGCTATGAGTTCATTGATGAATTTGAGGTCTTACTATGAAAATGAAACAGCAGAAAGGAGAGGTGCCAACATCTCTGGGACTGTAATTTGGGAAGAAGTTGGGGCATCAAGGCAATGTAGATGATGGCTACTGGACCAAGGAGAGTTTCTGGTGAAAAATGGGCTTTTCTTACACCGTAATGTTCTTCTTTCTTAACAGCAGCAAGTAGTCATTGCTGTTACATCATCAAGTGCTTAACTTGTGCATGATTGCTTAGTTGGTGCAGGGCTGTGGGACAAGCCCTGGGAAGAAAGAGTCACAAGGCATGGGCCTTGTACTGGGAGGCTTTAAAATCATAAATGCACACACATATTTGGACAATATTGGTGTGGCTTATGCTCTATGCCAAATTTCACAAAGGAGAGCCTGATCTCTAAGGGTTAGAGTAGCTGGGGAGGGCCTCAGCTATAAGAGAGGTGAAGACCAAGTTGTCCAAATGTCATTTGAAATAAGCACCCCTTTTCTTGGTCATCTCATTTCAAGTAAGTCTCTTCTTAAACTCCCCAATCAGAGAGCCTTTTGTTCAGAGCCCACATCCATTTATTGATGCCATCAGTGCATCTTGGAAATAAGAGTGTGCTGCTATCAGCCTTTATTGGCAGACTTTGTCAGAAAGTTTCAGAAATATCCTTGTGTATATTGTAAGGATGTTATTGAGGACATTGTTCATTACATTACACAATGTTAACTTTATGAAGACCATTGGAGAAATTATTTTCTGTCCTAATCTCAGAAGGAGGTGTGCTTTCCCTGAAGAATTCGTTTCTTTTACCTTATGGAGACTGCAAATTTGAAGGCAATTAAATTGTTTCCAAGGAGATAATTAACATGAACTGAAAATCAGTTGTCATCCAGTTGTACATGTGGAATTTGAAGATAATAAAAATGAAAATCTGGAGACAGATTTGGAGCCCAGCCACAGCAAGTGTATAGACGATACACTTTTTGTGTTTAAAGTATTTTTGTGTTAGTCTCAT